CAGTGTAGGAGAGTCCCAATCTCTCCACATCCTTACCAGCATTTGTTATTTTCTGTCTTGTTGAACTTTGCTGCTAGTGCTAGGGCAAGATGATATCTCATTGTTGTTTTGATTTGCATCTCTCTAATGGCTAATGATTGTGAGCATTTCTTCATATGTTTGTTGGCCACCTGAATATCCTTGGTGAAGTGTCTCAATAATTTTCTTAATGGTGTCTGGGAACTCACCTGCTGCCTCTTGGTTGGCAGAAGTTGCTTCTCTTGTTATCTTAACATTTTTAAACCAAACCTCTTTCTAAAATTATGAAACTGTCCTTTGCTGTCATTCAATTTTCCAATGTAGATCCTTCACCCTTCTTTTGCTTTAAGTTGTCATGTAATGACTTTGTTTTTTCTTGAATCATAATAGAGTCTATAGGTATGCCTTTCATATGGCAACCTTACACCCACATAAAAGTTGCATTTTCAATTCAAGATAAAAAAGTGTTTGGGAAAAGTGCAAGGATTTTGCAGCTGCTGGTGTAGCTGCAGTCACAACTTCATGGATTTCTTTTTTTTTTTTTTCCTTAAATAACGATCCTTACACTGAATTCAGTTATCTTGAAATGGCAGGCAACTACAGCTGCAGACCTCAATCTACAGTACATATCAATCAATTCAACTTTTTCTTGTAACGTTATGACTTTGCCCTTGGGAACACTTCCAGCTTCAGTGTCACTTTATATGGATCTCATGATGTTATTCAAAATTAATGGTATTGCAGTAAACACAGTGAAAAATACACAAGGACTGCAAGAAATCAGTTCTTAACTATAATACGCAATTTACTGGAGAGACAAACTGCTCGTGTGGAGATGATTAGCATCTACAGGGCATTTTAAGCAGAATTCACAGCACTTGAGCTCACTGCAGTCATAACAGAAGGTAGCTATGAAATTATTCTAGTAGTGCAGTATATACTACGGTTAATCTTATGCAGTTATGATTAATACTGCATCTTTACATTTGTTTATGTTTCTCTTGACTGCAAATGTTTGTGTGTGTAACTTTTGATAAATTTTAACTTTTCCTAATAATTTTTTTTTGTATATTTTATGGTACCAAAAAATAAACAAACCAAAAAAAAACCTCACTGCCATCAAGTCAGTTCCAACTCATAGCAAAATAGACTAGTATTTACATATATTTTATGCATTCATGGCATACCTAACTTTTTCTTAATTTTTTCAATATTTCTGGCTTGTCTGTGAGTTTTTCTCAAATTGTGGCAAATCTCCAAAATATCTTCCAGTATTTTTATTGAAAAAAATGCACATGTAAGTGGACCCATGCAACTGTATAATAGTTTTCAAAATTGTTTAGCTCTATAATCCTCTCTTTAAAACAGAGAAAGTTGACTTGACTACTAATTTCTCCTTTTCCTTTATTTCCATTCCATCCCACCACCTCTAGTAGCCTTTGAAGGGGCTCCAAGAAACAGTTGAAAATAACCATTCATTGGGGTTCCTTGGAAAAATAGATTACTAACTGCAAAAATAAGTTTTATATTATTCTCTTCCCCCGCCCCCCAGAAAAATGAACCTAATTAAGAATCTTTAAATATAATCTACATCAGTCATATATTAACTGTAAAAACCAAACCAAAACCACTGCTATCAAGTCAATTCTGACTCATGGCAACACCATGTGTTACAAAGTAAAGCTGAATTCCTTAGGGTTTTCTTGGCTGTAGTGTATTTGGAAGCAGGTTTCCAGGCCTTTCTGCTGAGTGAGTTTGAACTGCCAACCTTTAGGTTAGTAGACAAGTGCAACCCATTAGCACCATCTGTTGTTGTTGTTGTTGTTATGTGCCGTCGAGTCAGACCTGACTCATAGCGACCCCTCCTTGGGTTTCCGAGGCAGTATCACTACGGAAGTAGGATTGCCCAACCTTCCTTCC